GAGAGAGAGAGAGAGAGAGAGAGAGAGAGACTTATGAAGTATAATAATCGTAGCAATAAGTGCAGAAATATATTTTATATGGTATAGGATTTTGGCATCAAATACACAATTATTATATGATATGACATAATATTTAATACAATATACAGTACAGTAATAACAATAATAAGTTATTGTAGTATCTCTTAACACCAGTGCTTACGTTAGACTTATAATTGGTTTTAATAATAATATTTCAAATGTAAGAAAACTATATTAGACTTCATTTGAAGGTTATAACCAAATATAGCAAATACAGCCGATTTGCATAGTATTGAGTAATTAGTAGTTTTGCGGTTCATTTGACACAAATAATAGCCAAGAATGAGTCATATGCTTACCATTAATACATTTGTTTGCGACCAGTTGTGGATCAAATGTGATGGCATTGTCTTTAACCAGATTTATATGCGTTAGTATTGAGAGACGACATCCCCTTTGACAGGCATTCAGGTGTTGAGACTGTTATGTGTTTTGCAAATAATAATGCATTCATTAGTTTTGAAAATTCATAAATATAGCACTTTTTATGATCATAAAACTCATAAAACAATTGAACAGACAATTAATTACAAGTATTCATAAACTTATAATAAGTGTTTGCATTGTATTGTCGGACAATGAAGTATAGCTTACTTTGGGATAAGTATGTAATGAATAGGTTTTACTACACAATTGATAACAACTTTCCTTATCTTCCAATGGATTCACTTCCAGAGAGCTAATGGTTTGGCTCACAACTGATCCGATGGTGACCACCGTTATGATCAACACTAAGACTAGTTGTCTCTTCAATCTCATCGTATACGAAGACTCCGGTGAATAGGGAAGTGATTTGAAAGTGATTTGAAAGTAAATAACAAATTGTTTGCAGAGTTAGTGTTGAACGCAATGAGAAGTGAATACAATGACTGCAATCAATGAGTTGTTGTCGACTGAAACACAGCTCTCACACAAACTCTCAATCGCTTTACTGTTAGTCTGTAGTCATAGACAACAACACTGTCTGAACGCCAATCGATGCCCACAGACATCGATAATCGCTTACTTCCCCTCACTTTCGCTTCAAAAACTAATTTATTGCCAATATTTGCCTCTAAAGTCCACAATCGACGGATTCTGGGCTCAAGAATTGATTATTTATAGGAATTTCATCTATGGATGGATTGGGAACTTATATCAAATACTTTTGAAATATGATAAATGACTTTTTGAAAGCAATCATAATATGAATATTCTGCGACGGCTTAACATTTAGTTTTAAGGATTAAGTTTTAGTTTAATGCAAAAATATAACTCATCTCCAATTACAAAATGTACTGAATTTATTTCCAGTGAACTGTTAATAATAAGAATGTTAACACATTCACAATATTCTACCACTACTTGACATACAGTACAGTATTTGAGAACTAAAACAAGAATATTCTTGAATTGCAATTATTCTCAATGGCCAATCCAATGAATACTTTAGTTAAATAGTATTCAATACATTTCCAAATAAACACAAACACGGAATTTTAATTATTTTTATTGATTGAAATAAACTCTTTTAAAAGTACATTGTATAACAAATTGGATACAATTTACCGCAATTTTCTTGATTTGATATTTGAGTATTTGTTCAAAGATAACAGTAATTAGAAAATTTAAACTAATATTAATTTTATTAGTTATGAATTTAAATATTCAATATTATATAAGAAATTTTCAATTTAACACTTTCTATGCGTTATTTATAACAAACATTTTCACAATTGATTGATTGAATCACAGTTTGACAGATAATTTACAATAAGTCTATTAAAATATCGTCAATATTACAATGAATTAATATTAACAGTAAATATACATTAAAATTGATTGGCGTTTGTTTTGAATGGAAAATTTGTATACAATTCTGGAAATTTCCAAATCAAAGATATTCAGCAAATCTCTCACTATTCGAGGATATCATTGCTCTCGAGTTTAAATACAGTATAATTGAAATCTTATTTGTATACCAAACTAGACTAATGTGCTAATCTGTGTATCAAATTTGCCATTCAATCATTGAATTCAATCTAAATTACAAAAGATCTGTGAACCTATCCATTCATTTAATTAGGCACTCATTCGTGAAATAATTAATTTTGATCTCTAATTCATATTAAAGAAGGCTGTACTTTAAGAATGTGTAAAATTAGTTTAAAAATATATTTAAATTTCATTAGAAATGAAAAAACTAATCAGTATTTGAAAGCAAAAAAGAGATCAGAATTACTTTATGCCTATAAATACGAAAATAGTAAACTAAAGACTAGTGAAAGTCAATCAAAATATGGATTTTATTAAAAATATGGTTCATTTGTTTTGGCGTCAATTGGTTGAGTGGTTAGGTGTGAGGTGTTTGAGTGTCTCATTGTGTCTCGTCTTCCCATCTTCGCGACAGAAATCTTCTATAAATGATTGTGACGTAAATGGCGAGCAAAAGCACCACAAATATGTCGTCGAGGAGTCCGAAGAGGCCGAACACGGCCTCCGGTATCATATCTAACGGCGATATTAAGTACATAATAGCGGCGACAAAACACAAAACAATGCGAATCCTAAATATATCGGAATATATCAATGAAATACATGTCCACTGGTAGGGCTATTAATTATAAAAGTCACCGGCTCCTATTACCTAAACATATACATTAGCCCACCGACTGTGAAGAACTCAGACGTCAAGTGACGCAAAAGTGTCGGTAAATCGTATATATAATCAATCAACTATTCGGTTGACAAGAAATATAGACATGGATTAGCTTTAAATGAGATCAAGAAATGTGTTCAAGGACTCGAAGGCCGGCAGCCATAACTTTACCGGACGGGGAGCTCCTGAATATCTTCTATTATAATCATTCACGTCATGCAATATACGCGACCTTTCATTAGGCTCTTCATCAGCGACAGTGATGTTCGGTGGGAAGCACTGCAACATTACGCTGACCTGTTGTCGACATACCGGACACTTTATGGGACCGCCCCTCCACTGGCCGTGACGCCAGTACACGATCAGACATTGAGCTATACATCCGTTCAATAGACAATACAATATTAGTTTTAATTACAACACATGTAGTCATTGTATCATTCATTTCAAAGTCTTGTTTGTATTTATAAATATTGAGCCAAAAATAACTTAAACTGGGACATTTCTGATAAGGGCCTATCTATCTTAGGGTAGACTACTAAGTTAGGAGTCCTAACTCCAATCAACAGATTCATTAGATTTGAATGTCTGCTACAAGTACTCTGTGTTTAAATGTTTTAAATGTGTTTTAAAATTGCCACAATCGTGACAAATAAAACCACTTTTAACTTTAACTTAAGTTAAATTAGTGTCAAAAAGGAATAGCGACAATTATATCATAAAAATGTTAAACATTCAAATATTAATATAAAATTAGATTATTATATCAATGAAGTGATTATTTGTTACATTTTTAATAATAAAACTATAGACTAATTAAAAATGATTACAGTACTGTACATATTTTAACTCATTTGTGATTAGACTTAAACGAAATCTCTCTCAAAATGAAGTACATTTCGTGTAAACAGTAGAAAACATAGATATTAATGGAGTAAAAGGCAAATAAAGGAAATATACCACAGAAGAGATGTCCGCAATTGGTTTCGATGGGAAATCGCGGCTCATTCAGACATACGGGACAGTGATTATCCATTCCGTAGTGATTAGAATTGACTAAATTAATGGTATTTTCATTATTATTATCAACCCTTCGGATGAATCGGTCGGAAAAGAGTTGCGATAACTGTTGTCGCGTCTCATTGACGGCCGACTCGTTTGACGGATGGATCCGATTCTCGTAAGCGCTCCGACACCTAAGACTCATACAAATTGGGATTCAATTAAAAACGCTATTTAAGCACTAAATTGAGACAAAAAACATTTCAATGATTACACGTTTTGAAAGCTAATTGAATTTTCTTTTTATTAAAGTAATTATCGCTTCAAATAAATGAATCCAAAGATAAGACAAAAGTTATGTTAAGATCTGAAGGAACTTAGACTTAGGGCTTGGCTCAAGGGTTACACAAATACAGACATTAGATATTCAACAGTCAGTCACTTCTTCACCCCCTCTGCCATACGTTACATACGATTAACTCATCTCTCGATACGAGTTAATGACAATCACTGAAGACATCAATTCATTAGTACTGTAGTCGACACTGAAGGCCACATTCATACGAGTGAGACATATATTATCTAACATTCACTTCAATATCATTCAAAACGCTTATTAAAGTCACTTTCAATTCAAATACCGTCTTATAAGTGAGACAATTGGTGACAATTAAACTTATTGTTCACTTATATGTCAATTATCTTAAGCGTGGCATTGGTTGTCGTGTAAATAGGGGTCAAAGATTAGATTAAATGTGAGATCATGTGAGATAAGTGAGAGCCAATGGACGGACAATAATAGCAATATTTGATTACCTCTTAAACACGACAATACAAGTAGTGATTGATATGACGAGGAATGTGGTGCCGAAGATCACCACTTCGTTGCCGATGCCTTCAATGAGTTGATTGCCATTCACTACCATTTCATCATTTATTCAAATATACGCCAAATATAATACTCAACACAAGTCTCAGCCCTTAATACCTATAGATCTCTAAACTGAATATTTATAACAATTTTTAAATCATTATTATTATTGTCAACAAAACTGGAGATCAACTAAAAGTCACACATTTGTCACATATATCTTGCATTTCGTGTCACTATTTGTGTTCATTTGAGTCACTCTTATGTCTGCCCTTTAATCGTAAGAAAATTGAATTCAATAAATGTTACATCAATTGAAAGCAATTAAAAGCAATTAATTGAATAAATTGTGACAAATCTGTGAATGTTTTTGTTTTTATGCCACTAAACGACGTGTAATACAAATACAGTAATAACGTCCACAATAGGTCTCAAAATTAATGATTTCCATTCAAATTGGGTTTAGTTTTAAGTTGAAATGCAATTAATTTAAGTATAGTTTGAGACAAAAGTCAATCAAACGGTGAATCAAATGAATGGATAAGCGATTGAACGGCGAATGCAGTGACAGTTGTGTCGAGTGTTTGTTTGTCAGTGAAATTGATGCCAAAAATGACATATTTATGGCACTAATGTTGTATTGCATTGATTGGCAATCAGTTGTGAATCGTATGCCATCTTATGCCTCAACACATCATTAATGTATTCAATGTATTCATGAATTGCATGCATTGAAAAGCACTGAAAAGATCTCAACAAACAGTGAATACGGACTGCAATTGAAGTGAATTTGAGTTCATTTTATGCAACAAAGCGATGAATGAATGAAAATAAGTGTTTAGTGTTCAAGTGTTTTGGAGTTTGTGTTGTGTTTGCATTGAATAACTAGTGGTCTATTGATTACAGTATAGTCTCATTGAGACATCGATTCAATGAAGGCATCACTCGTTCATGAATTAGTGCTTTGATTGTCA